TCCAGGAGGCTGCTCTTGCCAATGCCAAAACGTGCCAGACCCTGGGGTTGAAGCTCAAACAAAAGGTTGTCTTGAAAATAGGCCAAAAATGGCCTGAGCTAAAACCCTGGTCTGGTGCCTGAGTTTCAGGGCAGGTCGATCTGATGAGGGCCTGAAAATGGCCCTCAGTTTCATGCTGAAAAGACTCAGGGCCGGAAAGGCCCTGATTTAGGCTGAAACGACACACGGCCTGTAGGCCCTTGTTTTCAGGCTTTCAGGCTGAAACGACACAGGGCCTGTAGGCCCTTGTTTTCAGGCGTTCGGGCTGAAAACGACACGGGCCTGAAAATGGCCCGTGCAGCCTGTTGCAGGCGCAGCATGTAACACCCCCCCCTCCTTATGCAGTCAAGCTGGGTCGAGGGCGAAGCTGGCGATCTGAAGGTGGAACCTGGACGCGGGTGCGACGTGGAGCCAAAGACATCGGCTTGCCTTGCATCTTGCGTTCGTACCGTGCGAGAACATCTGGAGCTGTTGCTTGGAGTTCCGCAAGGGTCAACCAACAGTCAGCTTTGTGAGTGCAGTGCGCAAAGTGTACCGAGTACTCGGTTGGCCTGTTGCCGTAGCGTCCCTGAGAGATGATGTCGCCGACCTCTTGAAAACCGTCCATAGATGGTGGGTCTTGCGATCGTCGCCCGGGAAAATCGTCATGTTCCGCTGGCGTGTAAAGAGCCAACTTGGAGCAATGAAAGACCGGGTAGACGGGCAAGTGCGCGGGCACTTGAATGGTGAAAGAAGGTCCTTCGGGTGCATCCCCAGCTGGTGCCACGATCCGCTAGGGCCCCATCCATTTTGGGAGGAGCTTGCGAGAGATATCTTGTTCAAGGCTGAATTCCGCAACGGAAACCCAAACGAGATCGCCGGCGTGGAATGGGCAAGGAAGACGCTGGTGATTGGCCTGTTGGCTCATGCGTTGCTGCGTATTAGCCATCTGGTCGCGTGCCTTGACAAGTAGCTCTTGCATCTGACGCAAGAAAAGAAGATGGTCGTCGCTCTCGGCCGTTCGTGGAATGATTGCGTCCAACGAAGAAGTGACCGGCGAGCCCTGCTCGAACTCGAAGGGCGACATCCTGATAGCCGGGTGGATGAACGAGTTGTATGCCAACTCGACATCCGGCAGCCGCTCAACCCAATCCTTTTGGTCGGGACAAATGAGAGTGCGAAGGAGAACCTGTGCAATCTGATTCGCCCTCTCCGTTTGGCCATCGGTTTGGGGGTTGCGAGCCGAAATTGGCTTGAGAGATGAGCCCCATTGTTTGATGAGCGCCAACCAAAAATCGGGCATGAACCGAGTGTTGCGGTCTCAGACGATTTCCTTGGGGTAAGCCTTGGTTCGAATCCAACCGGCGTAAAGAACCTCAGCTAACTCTGGTGCCTTGGCATGATAGCGGCAAGGCAAAAACATGGCGAACTTGGTGAGTCGGTCGACCACCATGAGAATCCCATCCACACCGGTCTTGTGCTTGGGGAATGAGCCGGTAATGTCCATGGCAATCGCTTCCCTTCGGCGCAAGGGGACCGGTAATGGTCGCAACTCGCCGTACGGACGATGGTTGCGGGATTTGCAGCGTCGGCAAACCTCGCATGACTCGCAATACCGTGTAACGTCGTCGAGAAGGCCGGGCCACCAAAATCGCTCGTGAAGTCGGCCAATCGTGCAATTGACTCCAAAGTGTCCGGTGGCGGGAGCATCGTGGAACTCGCCAAGAAGCCGTGTACGCAAGTGAGAGTCACTCGGTGTGCAAAGAAGGTCCTTCCCCCGCGTGTGGACAAGTAAGTACCCCTCTTGGATCCGGTAGTGAGAAGGCGCCGGATTAGGAGAGGAGCAATTCACGTACTTGTCGCGAAACTCGGGGTCAGCTTGGTAGCCGCGGATGAAGCTATCCCGGAGGTCGTCGCCGATCTCGAAGGTCGAATAGACTGCGGTACAATGATCCGGACGCCGTGAAAGGGCATCCGCAAAACGGTTCGACTTCCCCGGAATGTGATCGGGAAAGAAGTCGAACTRGTCAATGAAAGCCATCCATCGGGCGATGGTGCTGTTGACGGTGTCTTGGGCCTTGTAGAAGACCAACGGATTGTTGTCCGTTGCCCATCGAAATTGGCTTCGACCAAGGAGGAAATGTCGCCACTGATGGACCTCGTGGACGAAGGCTAGGAGCTCCTTCTTGCGTGCATCATCAATGGAGTGCACGACGGGCACTTTCTTGCTGAAGTACTCGACCGGGTGCCAGTCCACGCCATCGTGTTGTTCGAGGACGACACCAATGCCATAGCCGGGCGCATCCGTAGTGACACGTGTTGGCAATAGCGGGTCATAGATTCGCAAGACCTCCGCAGATAATAGCGCGACTTTGAGAACCAAAAATGATTCCCGCGCATCCTCCCCGAAGTCAAACGGTCGATCCTCACATTGAAGCTTGGTCAAGTGGGCCGCAATCTTCGAGTATCCCTTGATAAAACGTTGGTAGTAGCCGGTAAGGCCATGGAACGAACGGACATCCGTGACGTTCCGCGGCTCCGGCCACTCCTGGATGGCTTGAATCTTGTCCGACAACGGACTGATGCCCTCAAGTGTGACAAAATGGCCAAAGTATTCCAGCTCTTGCGAGACAAATTCACACTTGTCGTGGTTGGCTTTGTATTTGGCGCGGCGCAGCGTCTCCAACACCCGTCGAAGGTGCTCAAGATGATCCTCCAATGACCGGCTATAGACGAGAATGTCGTTTAAGTAGACCAGCACGAACCGGTCCAACATCGCACGAAACTCGTTGGTCATTGCCGCTTGAAAGGTCGTCGGGGCGTTGGTGAGGCCAAAAGGCATGACCACCCACTCAAAATGCCCATACCACGTCATGAACGCGGATTTGTAGCGATCATTCGGCCGGAACGAAATCTGATGGTATCCCGATTTCAAATCCAATTTAGAGAAGTACTTTGCGCCGCCCAATCGCTTAAGAAGATCGTCAATACGAGGAAGAGGCCCCGCATTCTTCACGGTTTGCGCGATGAGCTTGCGGTTGTCGATGCACAATCGTAGATCCTTGTTCTTCTTCCGTACGAAAAGAACTGGAGCTCCATATGGAGAGCTACTAGGGCGGATCCAGCCCTTGTCCAACAAGTCATCGAGTTGCGCACGGAGGACCGAAAGCTCCTCCTTGCTCATGCGATAAATGCAACCTTTAGACGGCACGACACTGGCCTCAAGAATGATCTCGTGAGAGATCGGCCGATCCGGCACCACACCGGTAGGTGACTCGAAGATGTCGGAGAACTCGTCAAGCAACCGCACCACACGGGGGTCCGAAGACAAGTCCGTGGGTGAAGAGTCAGCTAACGCGACGGTCCGTAGGAAACACAGGCCGATTTCGTCGGGCTGCTCGTAAGCACAAGTACCCGAGAATGACTTGGCTGTTACCACTTGGCATCAAATCGAAGGGTGCAGGAGAGGAATAGTACACGACACTTCGGCGCCGAAGGCATCCCGAACGGTAAGAGTCCGCCGATGGAAGTTGACCGTGTGATCCGCACTTGCGAGCCAAGGCATTCCCAAAATAATGTCGAAGTCCGTGTCCAAAATGTCGAACGTCACCGGTTCGCATGCATGAGGTGCGAAATACACCGGTACGGCCTCGATGTAGTGGTCGATAAGTTGCTGTGTCCTTCCGTCCGCCAACTTAATCGCCGTCGGGTTTGCCTTCCTCCGAACTTGTGCGCCAAGGCTAGCCCTTTGCATAAAGGCTTGGCACATGAAATTGTGAGATGCACCGCTATCTAGCAAAGCGCTGCAGGACGCTTGCCCAACTTGGATGCGCACATAGAGGAGCGGTGCGTTGTTGTCATCGTACCGCTGCTTGCGAAACTCGCGGGCCACCTTGGTAACATATGCAAGGATGTCCCCCACCGCTGCTTCGTCATCTGTCGGCGAAGTTGGTGGTGATAAGCACATAATGTTGCACATTGCGGTCCCGGCAAGCGGTCCGTGGTCGGGAGAGGAAGCCATGCGAAATCCTTGGACGTGAACGGGTCCAATACGTCTATGTTGAACTCACGCGCCGAATCCCGTGAAGAACCACTTGAAGACGATAAGTCGCCGCTGCCGGACGGAGAAGATGCCGCACACACATTTTGTCATTGAGCACGAGTACCCAGCGTAGGAACGAGCTGGGCAGCATAGTCCTCATAAGAAAATGGAAGAGGAGGACTATCGACTTCCGCATGTGCCTCAGAACGAAGGGCGGTCACCCGCGAAGCAACCGGTTCCGAAGGCGTCGAGAGTATCGTTGAGTCACTCCCGACGGTGCTCAGTTTCCCGAATTGCCTTTGTCTTTCGACGGGTAGCCCATTGTGTCGTGGAGATCGCTGTTACACCACAGACAATAGCGGAATCTTGTGCGTGCCTTGTACACCTGTTCGGAGAGACCGTAAGGGGACCATGGGGTTGGAGTTGTTGCGCCGGGTCTGGGGCTAGATGCGGTGTTGGTCTTCGTCCTACCGCGTCCTCGGCCTTTGCCGGGGCGGCCACCATCCCGGGCAGCTGCGAGTCTGTTCCCCTTCATTGGCAGACACCGCCTCGCTAGTTTGGTCATTTGGCATTGTCGCCGCGACCACGACCACTTTCGACCGATGTTGATCTCTGCTCAGGCCTGGCACAAACGAACGGTGGAGGTTCTTAGCCTCCTTGTTCGTGACAATAATCTGCGCGGCCTTGTCGAAGAGCTCCGCCATTGTCGTCAGGGTGTCCTCGACGTGAGTCAAGGCGTTGCCCAATGCTGGACACGACCTCGAGATGAAGTAGTGTTTGACAGCCTTGAAGCCCATTTGAAGGTCTGGGACGGATGTCAAGCGTTGGTACTCGGCAATCCAGTCAACACTCGGCAGCGTGCCTTGTTCGAAGGTCATCAGCTTGTCCATTGCCTTGATCTCCGACGGCTCTACTTGGAACCGTTTATGCCACGCCACCTTCAGATCATCCCAGCTGATCTTGGTGTGAAAGTCGGCAGCCACCACTCCGTACATGGACAAGAGATTGTCCAACCATGCTTGGCACGCGCCCCCCGACCGGTATAAGTACGCATGGTGCTTGTGTTCGCTGACGTGGTGTAGCTGCAGTGTGAGATCGAACTTGCGGAACCATGGAATCGGGTCCGTCTTCGTCGAGTCGCAGAAGCTCTCCTGATCATCGAACCTTGGAGTCGTCTCGCGCGGTTCCGAGCTCGAGGGGGCGGCAACAGTACAGATCCGCTTCTCCAACTGTTGCGTTGCGGTTTGTTGTAACTGCACGCCGTCCTTGAGGGATCCGACGTCAATCTCCAATGCCTCGAGGTGATCGGAGGTGTTGGTGTTGGAGGAGCCGGCATCGGGGGCGGCCACGGGTCGTTGCTCCAGCTGCTGTAGGCGGCTGTTGACTTGCGCTAACGCATCGTCGAGGCTGTGGATATCCTCCTGCTGTGTAATGCATGTTGCCAGGAGGTCCGTGAGATAGGAGAGGAGTAAAGCGATCTTGTTTTCACTCTCTTCCATCTTGCCATTCTCGGCCTCGACCCGCCAGTCCGCTGCCATTGTGAGCAAAACTCGCTCTCCACTGAATATCTTCTCACGTCGTTGAATTCGTTCTTCATCGGCAACCTTTGCTGCCTCGTCGTGCTGGCACTGCTGTTCGATTGCGAACAGACGTGCCTTCTCGGCGTCCTCTGCCTTCTTCTTTGCTGCGACTGCTACTGCATCCGACCGTTGCTTGGCTTCGGTAATCAGAAGCAGCATCCGGGCCTGATAAGCCTCGTCCGTTTCCCCAGACTGCTGGTCCACGACGGCTGTTTGCGAGCGCGTGAGCATAGACCAGGCTGGGGGCCTGCTGACGTGGCTTGCTGACGTAGGCTGCTGACATGGCCTGCTGACGTGGTAACTCACCAATGCCGCCGCAGGGGGTACTCGAAGACAGATAGAGAAGATAATATCAGAGGGGGTAACAACATAGGTGGGGAGGAGTGGGTGGGATAAATTGCCCAGATAAGGAACAACTAATCAAAAAAGAAAAGTTTGAACTTTGCAAAAAAAATTGAGAAAAAGAAAAAATACTCGTTTGCAAGTTCAGTAGGCCTCCCAATTCTCCCTGAAGTGCGAAATTACTAATGAGAATTTTTTTTCGAACTTTCAGACTGCAAATGATTATCCGACAAAGAATTCTGAAAATAAAATACAGCAAAATATTCGGAATTACTCAGATGAGAGTACACGAAGTTTGGAGAATGATAACTGCAAGAGGGATTTCCCGTACCGTTAAAAAAAAAAAAACGAATTTCGAAAATTCAAAATGACGGGACATTGCAAAGGAAATCGAAATTTTCGAAAAAAATATATTCCGGATTTTTAACAACGAAATTTCGAATTTTCAGAAGAAAAACGAAAACGAAAATTTAAGGTGTTGCGCTATTGCGATTTTCCACAACAGAAATCGCGGAAGAACAAAATGCAAGAAAAGAAAAAAATTCCGATTTTCGCCAGTGAGGTCAAAATCGTGATTTTGGGGGCTAACTAGTGTGCTCTAATCAATCAATTAAGACTAATCAGCTACTTAGTCCCCACACACGTGTCAGATCAGGTTGTCCTGATTCACGTGCGGTGTTCCGATACCAACTGTTACATGCCCAGTTGGGCGATGTACGTATATAACCAAGGATCCGCAATGTGATGAAAAGGACTGAATGGACAATGCAGTGCTAGTGAAATCTCAACAAGCAATGTACATCCTGATACATACAACAATGGTGCTTTATAGCGCAGTGGAAGGCTTAAATACAAGTCCTGACCTGACCGGGACTGACCTCCCTCATGTAGTACAAGACAGTGCAGCAGACTACATCATCTTCATCACAAGGTGTGAAGGAGGCCTGGCGCTACACACAGGAAGAATGCGCCAGGTCCAGATCATGCACAGACAAAGAGGAGGGGAACAGACGACGAAGAGGAGGGGGGAAATAGGAAAGTCGTCAACACCAAGTCTTCGTTACAAGTCCCAAATAATCCCTCGTCAAAATGTCTGAAGCCCAACGTCGAGTCTGGATCCAACTGTCACCAAGCTCTCTCTCTCTCCCGTAGTCTGCTGATGCAGTGAAGTCAGATAGCGAGAGGGTGAGAGAGAGATGGTGGACTGAGAAGAGGAAGAAGAACTCTCTCTCTCTCTCTCTCTCTCTCTCTCTCTCTCT